GCACTTAGTCTAAACCACAATACTATAAAGTTAAATATAATAGGAGTGGAATTTTATGTACCATCAAATATTGTAGTCGTACTCGTAAAAGTATTGGGCGTAGTAATCTTCATAAAACAAAAAAAAAATGGCTTGAAACTAAAATCAAATGTATTTTACTCAGCTTGAACAGAAAACAAACGTATTGTTCCCTACTTTATTGTAGAGAAAAATACGCTTGATTTCATTTCTTGGATTTGAATGGCATTGCTAAAAATCGCAGGTTTTATGGTTTAAAAAAAAGTTTTAAAGACTTTAAATTTATAAAATGAGAATGGAATTATAAACTAGATAAAAATTTTTTTTTACATTAATTGTTCTTCATTAACTTGTAAAAATTAGAATCTACGATATCAATATTTAGAATTAGGAGCTGATCAACATTTTGAGAACGGCCAAAGCCTACATAAATTATGTTTTTTTTTTTACTGTACTGTTGTCGATAATTCAAAAAATTAATGAATTGGCGTTTCTAAAAGATTACAGACGATATGTTTTTTTACGCCTTTCTAAGATTTGCGTGGAAGGATCCCCAAGAAATTGATTAAGAATTTTAATTTTGCTTTCTTTGAATTAGACCAAGTTAGGTGCAAGCTTGAGGGCCTTCCAGACCATCACTGCTTTAGTGTGAACTCTCCAACGGAAATGAAACCTTTTAAAATTCCATTTACTTTACAACATAAACAAAATTACGCTTGATTGCAACCTTGATGAAAAGAAAACAATAGTAATGGTTTTACTTACGCTTTCCGAGCAGAAGGGAATATTTTAACAATGCCTTTGGAATATGTTAAACCCCGGCTTGGTAATGTCTTCGATTTTGCCCGAAGAAAGAGTTTCGTTTTAAAAAGACTAATAATGTGTTTGCTTGTAGCTCACACTTCTTACTTTTGTCAAACTTATGTACCCGTTACATACATACATACATACATACATACATACATATATATATATATATATATATATATATATATATATATATATATATATATATACGCAACTGTCAATGGACTAGGTGATCCGTGAAATTCACTGAATCTTTTTGGGTTTCTATTTATTTATTTATTTTAATTCGCTTTGCTCAATAAGCGTGAACAATGAAGAAGATTTGGACAAACAGCATTGACTTAAGTCGGCCGCATAACCAACCGACCGCTATTTCGTGTTATTGTTCGATTTTTTTTCCTATTGACATCGTTGTCGGACTTTTCTTCGGTAGTTTTTTTTTTTTTTTTTTTTTAGGTGCACTGAACAGGAAAACCGGGAGCAGTATCTCACGTGCCAGTCAGAATAATCAGCAGTCGCCTTTTGGCGATTTGACTCAGCGGTTAGGCTAGTGAACTGAAGGTCTTTAAAGGCGCTGGAGTGAAGTATAACATCGTTGTTATTAGATTAGGCTCAATACAGGCGTAACCCAGCAGCCTGAATTTAATCACAAATAAGAGTAATGAAGCTCTATATTGTTAATTTATGTCTTTTTTTTTTTTAGGCTTGGCTTAATGGTTAGTGCAGTGGACTTTGGATTATCTTTTTCGTGTACGTAAAATAAGAAGAGGACATAGATGCGTTTTCTTAATGAATTTATTAAATCTGTATAATGTTGGATGATCGCTCCCTGCCCTGACGGTAATCACAGCCGGCGCGATATTTAAAAGGCTCTTCCTCTTTTCCCTTTGACTTTCGGAGCGGCAAGACACGTTTCTTTTCGCTCCGATAGACACGAGACATGTAAGTACTTCAGAGACACAGACTGATGATTGTATTGAACTGTTCATAAATTTAACTTTGTTTATTTTTTAATCCTTCTGTAACATGTCCTGTTAGTACATTTATTAACTGTTGCTTGTTTGAAGTCAATTTTTTTTTAATTTTTACCCGGACTCACCGGAGTCCACCAAATATTGTTTTTGAGATAAATGTACCAGGAGGCACAAAATCATAATAGTTACAATTCCTGCAATAACAGAGAAATGGATCGAAGTAGATTAAAAGACCTACGTTCTTGCAAGTTTGGTTGCGGACTATGATGTAATGGCGACGATCACTCAAACGGTTTCCCTCTTTTTCTTCGTTCTCCTTTCAATCCATATACCATATTTGTTGACGCCAAGGAAGTTTAAAGTGAAAGTCCTTGAGAAAAACAGTAAACATGCAAATAAGGTCTTGGCTATTACATTACATTACATTACCAAGATGTTTTGTGGGTGGTTTAGCAATATATAAATCATCTTGACTCTTTGTGAACTGGATTTTATTATTTTATTTTACCCTTACAATAGGGAGACACATTAGTTTACTCTCTCTCTCTCTCTCTTAGATGTATAAAATACTGACTGGGATAAGTACCCACAATAGAGCAGAATCAAACACAATGATAATCTAGTTCCACAATTCATTGTTCTCCCCAGCAGAGTTTTTCCATTCACTGAAATATCAGCTGAAAGTCCATTATATATCCAGAAGGAAAACTTTTATCTGTATCGACCACTATTTTTTAATTTTACCCATAGGGTGGAATATACAGAAATTTCAAATAAAATAAAACTTGACTTAAATGTAAAACAATAAAGAAGATAAACTTTACTTATATAAATTGTTTAAAAATATTTTCAAAGAAACAAAAACATCTTTATTTTGATATCTCATATAACGCTTAGAAAATTTTTTTAATAAAATTATTTACTTATTTAAGAGAGATTCAATAAATTTTATATGTTTCATAAAAGAATTTGATAAATTTGATTCAGAATTTTCTCGTAGTTTTAACCAATCTTTTATTTTGCTTTTCTTGTTATTACGTTTTCCTTTAAAGCGTTTCATAACACTAAATGTTGCTTCAATATTTTGAGTCTGTATTTGTCTGTTTAATGGATCAATCTACCTGTCTGTGAATATTCTCTCTCTCCTCTTTCTGTATATATATATATATATATATATATATATATATATATATATATATATATATATTTGATAGTTGTATATTTAGGCAGCAATCCTTCGTTTATGCATGTTTCATTAAAAACGACAGACAAGGTACTACGGTTAAGCTTTTTATTTAATTTTTCTTGTGTTCGAACAAGAGCTTTCTTTTCTGGACAAAGGGTGTGTAAGAACTGTCCAAATATTTTATATTTCGGAGCGCTTTCGGCTATACCTTTAGTCATTATCAAGGATGATTGGATTTTTCAGCTTAATTGAGTGTGTGCTTTATGTGTATGTCTTAGTGTGTGGTAGGGATGTTTTTAATTTCCGAATACGGTTACACACACACACACACACACACACACACACACACACACACACACACACACACACACACAGATATATATATATGATACTTTGTTTATTTACTACCCTAAACGGTGTGTAATTTATAAATTTAATTCACATGGTATTTATTCTGTTCCCCCACTAGGAAGAGATGTGATACAAGGTCTATTTTTAGGTGGGGACCCGAGTGTGTACGCCCGGGACAGGAACAAAAATCACCCCCCCCCCGCAACCGTCGATTGCGCTGGCCTTGTTGCGAGCACCGATCTCTCCCTCTGGTGCAATGGGATGGCGCGGCCTCGGGCAGCTGTTCCCCAGCGCTAGGCACCTCTCAGTATTATTTTCCTCAGTCGCCCCTCTGTCCTTTGACAGAGAAGCCCCTGAGCGCACTCTGCCCAAAGACAGAGACGCAACAAAGAGATGATAAGTAGACGCGACATTACTCAAAAAGAGGAAGGTACACATAAATTTAATTCAAATACAGGAATTCAGTTTACGGTCTGCCATAAATAACCCTACTCTGTGGTTAGCATAGGCCTAAGAAAACCCTAACCTTTGTCCTCAAGAACACACAGTAAATTTTCCAGATTTATTTTAAAAAAAAAACACTGCGTCCTTGATGCCGGTAAATACGGTATATTTTGGTTCATTTCTTGATTTACAGGAACGAGCAACATTACCCAATTGATTGATGCCTGAAACTAAAGTTACAAAACAGTTTCTACTCCATCTGAGACCCACTTGCCATAGGGCAAGCTGACACCCAGTCCAAATCCACCACTGGAACACAACATACAAATACATATGTTTACTTGACTATACACAGGCACGGGCCGGCTCAAGGTACTGATCATCAAGGCCGAGGTCGACATCATGCCACCATCTCATGTGTTTGGGATCTTCCAAAACCAAAGCTTATGAAAACATACTTGCGATCGTCTATGACACAAGACAGATTAAATTCTTTGACTATTTTGTGATCTCATAAAGAAGATAGGTGTAGAAAATGCCATGCAAATATTTGCAGATCTAAAGGTTAGAAAAATTGGTTAAGTCGGATAATGAATGTTTTCTTTAGCTTGTATTAAGTTATATATCATAGTAAACTCTTTATTCTTTTTTTTCTCATTTTGAAAAATTTAAACAATTATACTTTAAGGGCGCCGAAGTTCCGCTTGTCCAAGATGCCAGTAACCTAAGGGCCATCACTGCACAGGCATGTTTGATAACTCGACCAAAAATAGATGGAAAGCTCTTCTCAAATGTCAATCTCTCAACATCTTTAATAAAACATTGCACACGTTCCACTTCTTCATTCACTCTTTTTTTGTATACTTTCCATTTACTTTACTCTCTGACTAATAATCTCTAACAGTTCCATGACAAGTTTCAAGATTTTTCAAGTGTTTAGTAGCTATTATACAGCAACACATGCACACAAGTGTTACCAACCATCCTGCAAAATACGAGATTTTGTTGCTGAAGGACGTGTCCTACATCAATTAACGTGGGACCAGTTTTTTTCCTCCATTTTGAAAATTGATGATTCTTTTAAAAATTACGCACAACTCTTGCTTTATTTTAGGCACATTTGTTTGTTTCCTGAATTGCTGTGCCAATTTCGTTTGATATTTTTCTATGTTATATTGTAAGGAATATATAAAGTTGCCGATCTTGAACGAGGACAAGGCTTACGGCCACATTACGCTGAAACGACGGCTCCTGTGCTATCACTGAAGCTAAGCAACATCGAGTATGGTCAGTACTTAGGTGGGTGACTGCTTAGGAATACCAGGTGTTGTAAGTTTGGGTGTGCGGGTGGAATCGCTTACGACCATATCACTATGAAATATTGGTTCCCATACAATCACCGAAGTTAAGCAACGTCTAGCCTGTCAGTACCTAGATGAGTTATCGCTCGGGAATACCAGATGCAGTAAGCTTGGATGTGCGGGTGGTGTAATGGATAATGGCTCGGAATGTTAAGCGGAGAGTCGAGTTCCAAATACAGTTTGCACGATTGAAAAAAATGTTACACGATGTTTTTTTTTTTATATTGTTTTTCTTAAAATTCAGTTCTGTTTCACTCTAAAATACTAACTGAACTGATATATTGCACTGACCGTATAAAATTCTAACTGAACTGTTATATTGCACTGACCGTATAAAATTCTTAAATCATAATACGTTATGCATGAATTCCAATCACTCAAAAATAACAAACTGATTTAATTCAGCTTTGTGGGTCCGTGGATCCTTGGTTAGAAACCTGTCCCTGGAGAAATCCTAGCGGGCCTCCATGGTTAGGAATCTGTCTACAAGGTCTGCTGTCTTCTGGTTGGAAATACAGTAACCCCACCCTGCTTTTTAATTTTAGGGAGTTGGCAGCAGTAACACGCACATAAACAAACACATACACATACGCACGCGCGTACAGGTATAAAAGAAAGAAAGAAAGAAAGAAAGAAGGAAAGAAAGAAAGAAAGGCTAATATAAGGAAGTAGAAAGTGATGGTGGAGTGGAGTGATGAAAGGTAGGGTGGAGTGATGAATGGTAAAGAAAGAAAGAAAGAAAAGAAAGAAAGAAAGAAAGAAAGAAAGAAAGAAAGGCTAATATAAGAAAGTAGAAAGTGATGGTGGAGTGGAGGATGAAAGGTAGGGTGGAGTGATGAATAGAATGAAAGAAAAAGAAAGAAAGAAAGAAAGAAAGAAAGAAAGAAAGAAAGAAAGAAAGAAAGAAAGAAGGAAGTAGAAAGTGAATATAAAAAAGTAGAAAGTGATGGTAGGAAAGAAAGAAAAAAAAAAAAAGAAAGGAGAAAGATGAAAGGCTAATATGGAGGATGAATGGTGGAGGATGAAAAGGGGTGGAAAGAAAAAGAAAGAAAGAAAGAAAGAAAGAAAAAGAAAGAAAGAAAGGCTAATATAAGGAAGTAGAAAGTGATGGTGGAGTGGAGGATGAAAGTTGGGTGATAGGATGAATGGTAAAAGAAAAGAAAGAAATGAAAAAATAAATAAATAAAGAAAGAAAGAAAGAAAGAAAGAAGAAAGAAAGGCTAATATAAAGTAGAAAGTGATGGAAAGAAATGAAAGAAAGAAAGAAAAGAAAGAAAGAAAGAAAGAAAGAAAGAAAGAAAGGCTAATATAAGGAAGTAGAAAGGAAGAGGAGGATGAAAGAAAGATGATGGTAAAGAAAGAAAGAAAGAAAAAAAGAAATAAAAGAAAGAAAGAAAGAAAGAAGGAAAGGAAGCTGATAAGGAATAGAAAGAAAGAAAGAAAGAAAGAAAATAAAAAGAAAGAAAGAAAGAAAGAAAGAAAGAAAGAAGGAAAGAAAAGAAAGAAAGGCTAATATAAGGAAGATGGAAAGATGGTGGAGGGAGGATGAAAGGTAGGGTGGAGTGGATGGTAAAGAAAGAAAGAAAGAAAGAAAGAAAGAAAAGAAAGAAAGAAAGAAAGAAAGAAAGGCTAATATAAGGAAGTAGAAAGTGATGGTGGAGTGGAGGATGAAATGAGGGTGGAGGATGAAAAAAGAAAAGAAAGAAAGAAAGAAAGAAAAGAAAGAAAGAAAGAAAGAAAGAAAGAAAGAAAGAAAGGCTAATATAAGGAAGTAGAAAGTGATGGTGGAGGAGGATGAAAGGTAGGGGTGGGAGGATGAATGGGTGGAAAGAAAGAATGAATGAAAGAAAGAAAGAAAGAAAGAAAGAAAGAAAGAAAGGAAAGAAAGAAAAGAAAGGTAGGGTAGGATGAATAAAGAAAGAAAGAAAGAAAGAAATAAAGAAAGAAAGAAAGAAAGGAGGAGAAAGAAAGAAAGGTAAGGTGGAGGATGAATGGTAAAAGAAAAGAAAGAAAGAAAGAAAGAAAGAAAGAAAGAAAGAAAGAAAGAAAGGCTAATATAAGGAAGTAGAAAGTGATGGTGGAGGTAGGGTGGAGGGATGTTAAAGAAAGAAAAGAAAGAAAGAAAGGTAGGGGTGGAAGGAAATGAAGTGGAGGATGAAAGGTAAGGTGGAGGATGAATGGTAAAAGAAAGAAAGAAAGAAAGAAAAAGAAAGAAAGAAAGAAAGAAAGAAAGGCTAATATAAGGAAGTAGAAAGTGATGGTGGAGGGAGGATGAAAAGGGTGGAGGGGAAAGAAAGAAAGAAAGAAAGAAAGAAAGAAAGAAAGAAAGAAAGAAAGAAAAAAGGCTAAAGAAAGAAAGAAAGAAAGAAAGAAAAGGGGTGGAGGGATGAAAGAAAGAAAGAAAGAAAGAAAGAAAGAAAGAAAGATAGAAAGAAAGGCTAATATAAGGAAGTAGAAAGTGATGGTGGAGTGGAGTGATGAAAGGTAGGGTGGAGTGATGAATGGTAAAGAAAGAAAGAAAGAAAGAAAGAAAGAAAGAAAGAAAGAAAGAAAGGCTAATATAAGGAAGTAGAAAGTGGTGGTGGAGTGGAGGATGAAAGGTAGGGGTGGAGGATGAATGGTAAAAGAAAAAGAAAGAAAGAAAGAAAGAAAGAAAGAAAGAAAGAAAAAGAAAGAAAGAAAGAAAGGCTAATATAAGGAAGGAAGTAGAAAGATGAAATGGTGGAGGATGAATGGGAAAGGATGAAAGGTAAAGGGTGGAAAAGAAAGGATAAGGAAGTAGAAATGATAAAGAAAGAAAAGGGTGGAAAGAAAGAAAGAAAGAAAGAAAGAAAGAAAGAAAGAAAGAAAGAAAGGCTAATAAAGGAAGTAGAAAGTGATGGTGGATTGGAGGATGAAAGGTAGGGTGGAGGAAGAATGGTAAAAGAAAGAAAGAAAGAAAGAAAAGAAAGAAAGAAAGAAAGAAAGAAAGAAAGGCTAATATAAGGAAGTAGAAAGGATGGTGAATGAATGAAAGGTAGGGTGGAGGATGAATGGAAAGAAAGAAAGAAAGAAAGAAAGAAATAAAGAAAGAAAGAAAGAAAGAAAGAAAGAAAGAAAGAAAGAAAGGCTAATATAAGGAAGTAGAAAGTGATGGTGGAGTGGAGTGATGAAAGGTAGGGTGGAGTGATGAATGGTAAAGAAAGAAAGAAAGAAAGAAAGAAAGAAAGAAAGAAAGAAAGCTAATAAAGAAAGAAAAATGAAAGAGGAGTGAAAAAAGGTAGGGTGGAGGATGAGTAGGAAAGAAAGAAAGAAAGAAAGAAAGAAAGAAAGAAAGAAAGGAAAAGAAAGGCTAATATAAGGGAAAGAAAGTGATGGTGGAGTGGAGGATGAAAGGTAGGGTGGAAATGAATGATAAAGAAAGAAAGAAAGAAAGAAAGAAAGAAAGAAAGAAAGAAAGAAAGGCTAATATAAGGAAGTAGAAAGTGATGGTGGAGTGGAGTGATGAAAGTTAGGGTGGAGTGATGAATGGTAAAGAAAGAAAAAAGAAAGAAAGAAAGAAAGAAAGAAAGAAAGAAAGAAAGAAAGAAAGAAAGAAAGAAAGAAAGGCTAATATAAGGAAGTAGAAAGTGATGGTGGAGTGGAGTGATGAAGTAGAAAGTGGTGGTGGAGTGGAGTGATGAAAGGTAGGGTGGAGTGATGAATGGTAAAGAAAGAAAGAAAGAAAGAAAGAAAGAAAGAAAGAAAGGCTAATATAAGGAAGTAGAAAGTGATGGTGGAGTGGAGTGATGAAAGGTAGGGTGGAGTGATGAATGGTAAAGAAAGAAAGAAAGAAAGAAAGAAAGAAAGAAAGAAAGAAAGGCTAATATAAGGAAGTAGAAAGTGGTGGTGGAGTGGAGGATGAAAGGTAGGGTGGAGGATGAATGGTAAAGAAAGAAAGAAAGAAAGAAAAAAAAGAAAGAAGGAAAGAAAGAAAGAAAGACTAATATAAGGAAGTAGAAAGTGATGGTGGAGGAGGATGAAAGGTAGGGTGGAGTGATGAATGGAAAGAAAGAAAGAAAGAAAGAAAGAAAGAAAGAAAGAAAGAAAGAAAGAAAGAAAGGCTAATATAAGGAAGTAGAAAGTGGTGGTGGAGTGGAGTGATGAAAGGTAGGGTGGAGTGATGAATAGTAAAGAAAGAAAGAAAGAAAGAAAGAAAGAAAGAAAGAAAGAAGGAAAGAAAGAAAAAACATGAATGGAAAAAGAAAAAATAGAAATAAAAGAAATAAAGAGAAGAGAGAGAGGAGGGGAGAAAGAGAGATTTTACATTAATGCTCCCTTCTCATTGCTCTGTGCAAAATATTTTTTATTAATCGTAACTAATCACGGATTTTTCTGTTCTACGGACCTTTATCTATTTGAAAACAAAAATGTCGAGCTTTTGTTTCAAATTATTTTTCGGTGGAATTTAGTGCCAAGGAGTTGCGTGACATAGAACAACGAAATGCATATTACTCGCTGTTTTGTTTACCCGTGTCTCTCATCAACCATGATGAGAAGAGATTTGAGAGGAAAACAAAGATGATTAGAGTGGAAGTTTACATCAGTCGCCAAGCTTGCCACTTCGCCGTGGCAAAAGAATATCAAACATTCGTGCTTGGTCGTCACGATCATTTTGGGGAAACAAGAGCGAAAGACAGAAAGAGCGAAAGAAAGAGCGAAAGAAAGAAAGAAAGAAAGAAAGAAAGAAAGAAAGAAAGAATGAAAAGACAAGCTATAGGAAATATCGAAAATCTAGTTCACAGACACGAGAATACGATCCGGGAAATCTGATAGGCACTCACGGAGACCACAGACGCCCACTGGGGTGGAAATTGAACGTGCTTGATCCAATGCGAGTCCTACGAGATAAATCAACCCAGGAAGTCAGACATCATCACTGGATATGACATTGGACTATATTTTGTTGCAAAATACGAAATTCTTTCAAACTGAAACGTATCAGAAATGTATCGTAATAAAATGAGTCATTTACATTGTTCGGACTTTTGTCCTCATTTTTATTGTCACATTCACGACGTTTCGGCCATTGTACGTTCCGGCCTTCTTCATGTGATATCAGTTGGAATTTCGAAACGAACCCTTTATTT